AGGCCTCCAGCTGCTCCCAAAATCCTGCTCCCGCGCCCAGCTCCGTCCTGGCAAGGAGCTGGCCCTGCCCCGGGGGTGCTGCTTCGTCGGTGCTGCTCCTGCCCGCGCTCGTGCTGGGGTGGGCAGGGTCTGGGGCTGAGCCCTGGGAGGGGTTGTGTTTTTATCACCTCAAAATCCTGTTATTTTTCACAAAAGGAAATAAAACTACAGCTGCAGCTCGTGGTGTGAGTGTGGTCTGTGTGGGAAGCGCTCGCCACTTTTCCTCTGCCACCTTCCTGGGAAATACCTCGGGATGGAATCCCAGTCCTGCTCCCGAGGTCCAGCCCCTCTGTCGATGGGCTCAGGGGGATTTTGGGGTGTCCACCAGCAGTGTACAGCTTGCTGGAGTTACCCAGGCATCAGGACATGGGGGGTTGGTGAACCAGTGCCCGAGAAGCCGGGGAGTGGGAGTTCCTGGTGTGTACTGGGTCCTCTGGGCCTGCTTCTTCCAAACCAGGGATGAAAAAGGACCAGCAGAAAACCAGCCTAATGGATTTTCAACCCATTTGGAGTCCTCAGTCAGTTCCATATTGGGTGTATCAGGACTCTTCCCTCTCCTGGTATTTCAGCAGGGAAAAAAAAACCAATTTTCCCCCTGGAACTCACGATTTTTGTTTCTGTTGCAGACTGGCTTGGAGCTGCACCTGCCTGGAGCTAATTTACGGGGTTCACAGTCCTGTTGCATTCCCCTCTGGAACTCCCTGCCCTGCCTGGCTGCTCTCCACCCTCACCCCTCCTGCATTTTGGGGAGCACGGTGTCCCCCATTCCCAGGTGTGGTGGTGGCTGAGCCCATCCCGTAGCTGCTGGGTCTGGTGGGACTTTGGTGCATTTGGGGCATCAGTGACACTTTTTCCTCCTGTCGTGACATTTCTCTTCTCCTTTCCAGTGCTGAGAAGCCACCAGGGAAGTATTTTTAAGGAAGTGGAGCAGCAGCAGGCACCAGTCTGCAGGTAGAGGGGAAAGGGAGCCTCACGGGGACTGAGGAGGATCTGTCTGTGTTTTCCAGATGTGCAGGATGTTGGCGTCCATATCTGCAGCAGAAAACACCTGGATTTGAGGATTTTCATACCAGAGCTGGGCAGAACTACAAAAACTCACACCTGAGCCAGGGCCAAGCCACAGGCACTGACGTGAGCCCTGGGGACACACCTGGGGCCGGCTCCAAAACCTTGAGAAAGCTCCTGATGCCTTTGCAAGCAGCAGTGGGACCTCCAGCAGGAGCATGGCTACTCTATCCAGCTCAGGACCACCATGTGAACAGCTGGAATTGCCAGCTTGGAACATCCAGAGCTGCCAGAGCCGAGCTGGGAGCCGCGAGCAGAGAGTGCAGCTCACAGAGGTGTTGGGTGCCACCAAATCCTCCGAGTGCCCTGAGCATCCCTACTGTGACCACACCCAGATCTGGGACGTGCTTCCATTCCACACTCCAAATTATTTTAGATTTCTTGCTTCCAGAGAGGAAAAAGCTGTGTGAATTCTGGGCTGGAGCAGGATTGCTCCTGGGGAGGAGCAGCCACGTGTCGTGCAGCTGGGGCAGAGGGGATTAGGGTGTCACCCAGAACGTGCGTGGCCGTGGCTTGAAAAGAGGCAAAACGGAGCTTTTTTGAGAGAAACTGTTCCAAGAAAGCAGTTTTTGGTGAGCAGCGCCTGGAGGACGCGCGGCCCCGCTCTCCCCAGCACCAGGAGCAGGCTGTGCACAAACAGCCCCTTGAATTGGATTTCATGGGACATTAGAGGCATGGAGAGACCTGTCACAAGGATTAAATCCGAGCCAGAGCCAGACAGCTTCAAACAGATGTTGGGCTTCAGCAGGAGAATATTCCTTTGTTTGACTCAGTGTTTTCCCATACGGAAAAGGAACATCTGTTCCAAAGCTTTCGGGGTGCTCTGGAGCTGGGGCAGGGTGGGATTATCCCTGCCAGGAGCAATTGGCCACCAAGCCCTGCTCCTGGGGAAGAAGGTGACACCAGGGGAGCAGTGCCCCAGCGCTGGGTGCCCAGTGGAACAGATGGAGGGATCCATGTCCCCGTCACGCCTGCAGCTGGGTGACAGTGCTGCATTCAGCGTGGCTGTCCACGGAAAATTGGGCCCTCTGGATTTCACTTGTCCCCTGGAATACTTCTGCAGGAGGTGTGTCTGCCCACGGGAGGGGACTGGAGCATGTTGTTCTTTAAGGTCCCTCCCAACCTGAACCATTCCGTGGTGCTAGAAGAGGAGAACTCTGGGGTTTGTCTTTGTTGTAGGAAAAAACCTGGACATCCTGCGGATTTCCATTGGGGACGATGTGACCAGGAGGTCTGGTGGCTCCACTGCTCAGCTTTGGACAAGTTTTGGGTGATGTTCCCCATGATTTAACTTGTCCTAAGAGCCAGGAGGTGAAATGGAGCCGGCAGCCCAGGATGTGGGGGGCCTGGGATAGTCCCCAGCAGTGGGAATGTGCCTCAAGGGGCTCCAGGAGAGCTGGGGAGGGACTGGGGACAAGGGATGGAGAGACAGGACACAGGGAATGGCTCCCACTGCCAGAGGGCAGGGCTGGATGGGAGATTGGGAATTGGGAATTGTTCCCTGTGAGGGTGTGAGGCCCTGGCACAGGGTGCCCAGAGCAGCTGGGGCTGCCCCTGGATCCCTGGCAGTGCCCAAGGCCAGGCTGGACAGGGCTGGGAGCACCTGGGACAGTGGGAGGTGTCCCTGCCATGGCAGGGGGGTGGAACGAGGTCACCTTTAAGATTCCATCCAGCCCCAAAGCGTTCCCTGAGCGCATGGAAAGGTCAGGGACCCTCCCCAGCTCTCCCCTGGCCACTGCCCCGTGGGTTCCTGGCCAGGGGCTGGGCCCAGAGCCTCGCTGGGGGCACCTGGGGAGCTCCTCCTGTCCCCAAAACACCATTCCTTCATCCCAGCCACCCCTCCCTTCCCAGCCCTGCCCCCCCGCAGGCTGGCCAGGCACTAATTGAAAAGCCTAATGAGGTCCCAGGGGTCTCCTGCAGAGATGGAGCTAATTAGGGGCTGCACCACGAGCTCCGAGGTTTCTTCAAACCTCTTTTTTTTCGGGGGCTGGAGGGGAGGGAGCGCCAGATGTCCGGGGTAAGGCTGCTGCTCCCGTCCTCAGGGCTCCTGCCAGAGCAGCTGGTGCAGAGGCAGTGGCTACACTTAATACATTTTAATTAGCATCATTAAATTCTTCCATTTGCTAATTGTTTCTGCTTTTGATCCTTTATCCTGCCCAGATTAGCCCTCGGGGGGAAGGGGGCGGGATGGGGGATGCAGACACGTCGGGCGAGGTGAGGACTTTATTATCCTGACACCAGGCCTTGGGACAGCACGGTAAAACACCCCAATTAGCGTTAATTAAGGCCAGATCCGCGTGTCCAGCCTGCTCAGGGAAAGAGCCGTCCCCAAAAAGTGAATCTGCAGGGGTTGGTGAGAGCAGAGGGCACCAGGAACGCCCCAAAAGTGGAGGTGGGATGCAGAGCCCTGCTCAGGTGAGAGCGTGCTCAGGTGTTGGGGTGTCCAGGAGCTGCACCCGTGGTCCTTGGGGGTCCCTCCCAGCCTGGGATACCCCAGGATCCATGATCCAGGATCCAGGAGGAGCAGCTGCCATCGGCCACCAGGTGAGGGGAGGTCAGTGCTTGTCTTCATTGTGTTGGATCCCAGCAGAAATGCTGGATCGGGGCCGTGCCAGCCTCATCCATGGGCAGAATTCCATCCCCAGGGGCACAAACTCAGCCTCATGCTCAATCCCTCTTGACTTCCAGGGGGTGGGTGAGGGCCAGGCGTGAGAAACAGCCCCAGTGCTCGGCTAAAATCCCAAAAAAGCCTGGGGCCAGCGGCTCTGATCTCCCTGGAAAGGCTGGCACGGGCAGGGCCGAGCAGCAGGGACGGCTGGAGCGTGCTGAACTGAGCTGGGAGTGCCCAGGGATTGGGAAAAGAGGAGAAAATCAGCCCCAATCCGCCGCACTCCAAGGCAGGATCATTCCCAGTCACCGTGTGGGACCCAGCTGGTTTCCGTGTGACGTTTTTCCTGTGTTTTAGGGTTAAATGGAGCGACTGCAGCGGGCTGGGCACCCATGGAAGAGTGATTCCTGCTGGAGACGGGATATTCAGCCTGGAGAAGGGAGATTTGACAGACTAAACCAGAGAATCTGAAAGAAGAGAACAGTTCTGGGTGTCTGCTGGCGGGCACAGCCAGTTTCCTGCTCTGGAACAGGACATGCCCGCTTGGGCCAAGAAAGGAAAACAGCAGGTTATCCAAAAAAATGAAACGGCATCTGAAAAATAGCAGGTTATCCGAAAAAAGTAAATAGAATCCGGAAAGGAACAGGGTAAACAAATAAATAATGAATACCCGAAAAATAGCGGGTTATCCAAAAGCAGCAGCTTCTCCAGAGCTGTGGAAAAGGAAAAGGAAAAGGAAAAGGAAAAGGAAAAGGAAAAGGAGCCCAGATTTCCTGCTGCCTGTCTTCACTGACTCCCCGCCCCGGGCTCTCAGGGCAGGGAAACAGACCCCAGACCGGCGGGTTTTGCCCCAAACCGGCGGGATTTACCCCAAATCTGTGGGTTTTACCCCAAATCTGTGGGTTTTACCCCAAAATGGGGCTGTGACCGCACAGGGTTGTGCTCGCCAGGGGGCGCCAACCGCCCCCCAAAGGCGCTCCCAAGCCCCGCCCCCAGCCGGAACAAGCCACGCCCCACCAGCGCGTCACGCCCACAACTCTACATTATCAAGCCCCGCCCCACACGCCGAGGCTCCGCCCAAACGCCCAAACCCCGCCCCGTCGCGCTCAGTCTCCGCCCCCTCTCGGCCGTTCTCGCTCCCCGCCGTTCCCTCCCGCTCTCGCGAGAGCCGTGCCCGGAAGCGGCCGAGCCGGCGCTGAGGGCCCGCCCGCCATGGAGGCCCCGCGGGCGCTGCCGCTGCTCCCGCTGCTGCTGCTGCTGCTCCTGGGGCTCTGCGCCGCCGGTACGCCGGGCCGGGCACTGCGATGGGGGCGGGAGAGGGCAGCGAAGCCCTTGGGGCGGGGGTGGGTCAGGCACCGCGCTCGGTTTGGGGGCGTCCTCTGCCCTTGGGGTCCGCCGCGTTCGGTCACCGGGGTTCCCCCTCCGGCCTTGGCTCCCCCGAGCTTCCCGTTCCCCTCGGCTCCCCCGCTCCTGTGGCGTGTCCCCTCGTGCCGCGCCCCTCGGGGGTCTCCCCTCGGCTCCCACTGACCGGGCTCCCCGTGTTTGCCGCTGCAGACACCTCGCAAGCGGAGAGCGGCGGATCTTCCGCGCTGTCTGGGGGGGCCGGAGCAGCTGGCAACCACGAGCACACGAGCACACCCACAGCGAACGGAAACGAGCAGAATGACAAGAAGTCCAGCAGTGGTGACCCCCAAACAGGCACGAGCGGCACGGATGAGAAGACGGCAGACAAACAGCAGGACAACAATCCCACTGGAAAGGGCACCGAGGACGAGGAGAAGAAGAAAAAACAGTCCCAGAAAGGCACAGAGGCTGCTCAGGATGACCAAGGTGCACACGGCAATGGTGGAAGCAGCAGTGCAGCAGGGCAGCAAGGAGCTGTGAGCCAGAACAGCAACAGTGGTGACACAGGGAAAACAGGCAGCAGTGGGCAGGGGAACACAGCGGGCAGCTCTGCTGGCCAGGGCAGCACCAACAGTGCCACTGATGGTCAGGGCAATGCCAAGAGTGCCACTGATGGCCAGGGCAATGCCAAGAGTGCCACTGATGGTCAGGGCAATGCCAAGAGTGCCACTGATGGCCAGGGCAATGCCAAGAGTGCCACTGCTGACCAGGGCAGCACAGGGAGCAGCACTGGAGGCACGAGCAGCACAGGCAGTGGCACTGGTGTCCAGGGCAGCACAGGCAGTGGCACTGATAGCCAGGGCAATACAGGGACCAGCATTAATGGCCAAAGTGGCAGCCAGAACAACATCAACAGTGGGCAGAAGAGTGTCAGCCAGAACGGCCAGGGTGGCAGCCAGGCAGGGGGCACCGAGAACGGGGGCAGCAAGGAGGGCAAGAGCAACAATGACAAGGATAGCAATGGCAAAGATGACAATAAGAACACAAATGGCAGCACCAAAAAGGACAACACCAACCAGAACAGCAACACCCAGGACGAAACCAACCAGAACATCAACAAGCAGAACAGCAACAACCAGGACAACAGCAAGAAGGAGCAGGGCACCACTCAGGGCAGTGATGGCAAGGACAAGAACACAAGTGGCAGCACCAACCAGAACATCAACACCCAGGACAGCACCAACCAGGACCATAGCAACACCCAGGGTGGCACCAGCCAGGGCAGCAGTGACAGGAACCAAGCTGGCAACGGGGCCAGCAGCCAAGGAGGGCAGCAGACCCAGGCTGAGAGCCAAGGCAGCGCTGCTGATGAGCAGCCTCACGGCCAGGACGGCGCACAGAAGTCCCAGGAGGAGCAGAGCCCTGTGTCACAGCCAGCTCCCTCCCTCGGGGTGGGCGACAGCTCCTTGGAAAACGAAGAGAGCGCCGTGGAGGACGTGGCCAAGGCCGAGGAGGGCAGTGACACCTCCTTGGATCTGCACAGGGACAAGAGTGTCCCCTCCCTGCCCAGGGCCCGCTCGGAGAGCAGCCACTTCTTTGCCTACCTGGTGAGCACAGCTGTGATTGTGGCTGCCCTGTACGTGGCCTACCACAACAAACGCAAGGTGAGCAGCCCTGCTGGAGCCCCCGGCCTTGGCCTGGGGCTTGGAGTGCTTGTGAGGGTCCCAGGAGGAGGGAGGAGATGAATCTGAGTCCATATTTCTCAGAAGGCAGGTTTATTATTGAATAGATATGATAATATATTAGTATACGATAATATATGATATATTGTAGCCATGGTCTTTTATGAAAAATCCTTTGCTAGGATTTTTCTCCTGAGAAGCTGAGGAGCCTCAGGAAAGAAATGTATAAACAATAACTGTCTGCTGCTGTGGAATGCAGCAGGTGCAGCTGTGTTTGGTGCATGTTGGTTGTTTCTAATTAATGGCCAATCACAGTCAGTTGGCTCGGACTCTCTGGGAGTCACAAGCCTTTGTTATTCATTCCATTTTTGTCCTTTCCAGCCTCCTGATGGATCCTTTTCTCTCTATTCTTTTAGTACAGTTTTAGTATATCATTTTAATGTAATATATATAATATAATAGATCAGCCTTCTGAAACATGGAGTCAAGATTCATGTCTCTTCATACAAAGCATCAACCATAATATGTTAATATATCATAATTATATGATAATACATGAATATATTATGATATTATATTATAATTTAAAAAATGCTATGCTAAAACTATACTAAACCATAGAGGAAGGACACAGACAGAAGGCTAGACAGGAATGAATAATTAATAAAAACCCCTCACAGACCAGAGAGTCCGACACAGCTGGACTGGGACTGGTCATGAAGTGAAAACAATTCACATGGAACCAATCAAAGATGCACCTGCCACATTCCAAAGCTGCAAAACACAGGGAGAAGCGAGCAGACAATATTGTTTTTCTTTTCCTCTGAGGCTTCTCACCTTCCTGGGCGAAGGGATTTTTTCATAAAATATCTTGGTGGCAGGTGGGACCAGCCCTTTCCCCTCGTCCTGACTGGTTTCTCACCAGTATCTCCCAGTTTGGTCCACGTTTGTGTGGTCCCACAGCAGCAGGAATGGGGCTGGCTCTGGTGGGAACTGGGTGTTCTCAGCTCTGCTGCTGGTTTTCAGAGGTGAAACCACAAAGGGGTGTGAGATCCCTCCATCTTATTTCTGACAGTTTCCTGCTGGCAGTTTTCTGTAGCAGCAACACGAGATTGGGGTTGTTTTTTCTCACATAAAGCTGGTTTTGAGGGAGAAAAAAAAAAAAAAAAAAGAAAATTCTTACTGTTTTCTGCTTGTTGAGCAAATCTCCTTGTCTATCTTAGGAATGGTTGAGTACTGGCATTTAATGTTTCAAGTGCTTGGGCACAGGAAAAGGGTTGTGGGAGCAGATGAGCAAAAAAACCAGAGGTGAGCCTGTGTTGGAAGCTGCTGTTCCACTCACCGTGTCTCCATTTTTCTCTCTCCAAAGATCATTGCTTTTGCTCTGGAAGGAAAAAGATCAAAAACTGGTCGACGGCCCAAATCTGGTGATTATCAGAGACTGGATCAGAAGGTGAGATTCCAGCCCAAAGTGGGGGTTGGAAACACAAAATACTGTCCCTTTGCATTAGAAAGGGTCCCAAAGCCCCAGCTCAGGAGTTTGGGAAAGGCCAGTTTGGTGCAGAAACAGGGTTTTGCCAGGAAATGGAGAAATACGACTGAGAAGTGCTGGCAGAGCTGACCCAGGGCACAGATGGGACAGTCTCGAGCTGGGCTGTGCTGAATGACTTTGGCACTGATCCAGATGACTTGTCAGAGAGGATTTTAGTGGGAGAAAGGGTAGGATTTGTGGAGAAATCCCTTTCTTCTCTCCCTTTAAACCCTGTTCCACGTCCTGCCCTTCAGGGCAGATGTGCCTGTCATTATTTTCTGCCACAGGAAGAGGAAAGTTAGGAAAACAAAGGCAAGAGCTCGTGTTTGCTTTGGGAGCTTCTCAGCCCACTGGAGTCTGGGCAGAGCAGCAGAAGAATTCTGAGTTTTCAGGTGGTGCCAACATTTCCTCTTGCCTTTGCAGATCTAGATTCCTCCTCAGATGATGGCGGGGATGCAGTGCTGCCACAGCTGGATTCCAGTCCACGGGAAGGAGGGGAAATGCTTTTTGTTTTGCACCTGCACCTTGATAAAACCTCTCACTTCCCTAAATTGCTCCTTTCCCAGCTGCCTTGTTTTCTCCCTGGGTGTCTGGCTGCTGGAAAAGCCAGACCCTGAACTTGTGTGTCCCGATGCAATGGAATTTGCCATCTGCTGGACTGATCCCTCCTTCTGGGGGGAGAAATTAAGGATCTGCTGCACAATGAGCCATGGGACTGTCCCTTGCCTGGGAGCAAAGCTGCCTTGCTCTCCTCCTGCCCTCCTTCTCCACCTGCTGGGTTTGGATGCTCGGGTTGGGAGCACGTGAGTTCTCTTGTGCTCGTTTGGAATGGACCCAGCACAGACTCAGATTTGGGTTTTCTCTCCCTGATCAGCTTTCCCAGTCTCACACCCAGATTCCCTTTTTCACACACACCTTTGGCCGTGCTGAAGCAGTTTTTGTAGCTCCTAATTCGTGCTCCATGCAGGTCTCTCCCCTCCCAGTGCTCCCAGTTCAGCTGTTACACTGGGGGTGTTGGTTGTGGTGGGGGGTTCAGGCTGGGGGAGCTCCGTGCCCTGTTGGGTCAGGGATTCAGATGGGAAGATTGCTTCCTGCCCTTGTCAGGTGTAGGAAGGAAGGAATGTAAATCCCTGAGGAGTTTGGGATGAGTGAAGCTCCCAGTCCCTCCAGTTTGGGCTGGTACTGGTCAGCCCAAGGGTTGGGGCCCCACTTACACCTGTGAGGTGCTTTTCATTCCTGCAGTTCTACTCCCCAGAGGTTTCTGGAGAGGGCACAAAGTACCTGCTTGGCTCCTGCTTTGGATTTTTCCAGGGGGAGCCCAGAGCTCCTCAGGTGGGCACCCAGCTGTGCCACATCAGGTGCCAGGCATGTGCCAGTCCCACACTTGCTGACTGACTGCACGGGAAGAGTCCCAGAATGGTTAAATTCCCTCCCTGGGGGGCTTTTTTTTTGGCCTTGCCAGGATTGGGAACAATCTCCTTGCCCTGTGGTCACCTTGGACAAGGGCAGAGCTGTTTCCTGGTCACTGTGAAAGCTGCAGCTCTACTTTTGATTTCCTAATGCTTCATTCCAAGAGGGGAGGGAGGGCTTGGCCTTCTCCAAACCCTAAAACCATCCTTTCCCTTTTTGCTGCCTCTTGGCAAGCTTGAGAGTCCCTCTTGGCTTTAAAGAGTTCTCAGGGTTTCCCTAGGAAACATCTAGGATGCTAAAAGGACTTCCAGGAGTTGTTTGGAGAGCAGGAGGGTGGAGGGAAGGGAAAGGGAAACAGGGCTGGGAATGCAGCTCTGGGGAAAAAGGGTGGGAACCTCCTGCCCCCCAAAACACCCTGCAGAGCCCCTGAGGGATCAGCCAGGCTTGGGGAGGGGACAGTGGCTTTTTGGACACAGCAGGGAGACAAACCCTGCTGCAGTGTGTGGGATTCCTGGGCTGCTCTGGCCGGGGTTCTTGGAGTGTGTGCTCTTTTTGGAGTGTGAGTGCTCTACGCTTGCTTTGTCCTGGTTTGTGGTTTTTTTAAACTGAATAATGATTTAGAAAGGCTTTCTGTTTTTTCAGCATCTACTTTTCTGTCCTGGGAGCTGTTTCAAACCCTCTCTTGCACCAGGCTGTGGGAATCCCACCCTGCTGCCAGCAGGGGAGGGAATATTTTGGACCTCAAGCATCTGGATCCCAGGCTGAGCCAAGCATTCCTTAGGGTAATGAGAGGGTCTGGGGAGAGGCACATCTCACACCAGGCTGAAATGTGGTGTTTTCCCCCAAAATCTCCCCACCAGCACTTCCCAAGGGTGATGTGTTCTGCCAACAGTCTGGGCTGCCCCAGACCTCTGGGGTTTGCTCCCAGTTTGTTGAGTTTTGTGGTGTTTATGCAACGTGTCCCAAAGGATCAAGGTGCACGGAACCTTTTCCCTTTGGACACACGTGCTTTCCATGGATGCTGTCTGTTGGTACAGAGGGGGTTTTTTGCCAAATATTCCTACTTTCTAGGCTTGAACCAGCACATGATTTGTTTTCTGCTGCAGTGCAATGCACCTTGCTTGGAAGGATCAGAATTTTTTACAGTTCTTTGTACTGTTCTTTTTTATTTTCCGTGTGGTGAAATCAGCGAATGGATTAAAAAAGACCCAAAAGGTTGAGTTTTCACTTCTCTCTTGGTGCTGTTTTTTTCACGTCCTTTGCATGGTTTTCACTGACACCTGGCACCAAAGGTGCAGGGTGGCTCCTCTTTATGCAAAACCCCTTTGATTTTGATAAAAACACCTGGTTTTGTGGAGCTGTCTGTGCTCAGAGCTCCGTGTGCAGCCGGAAGGAGCCCAGACAGACCCAGGCAGAGCGGATTTGAAGTTTCCAGCCTGCTTTCCATGCCCCAGCATCAGCCCAGCTCCACTGGGTGCTGTGAGGTCAGGGCCCAGGAGGAGATTAAATTTCTCTGGACACAGCTTAGTCATGAGCTCTGCTCTTGGATTTCTTCTTCTTCCTCCTGCAGGGAGCCCCAGAGGGCAATCCCAGGATGTCCCAGCTCCTTGGAGCAGCAGCTGGAGGCTGGAAGAGAGTGCTGTGGAACAGGGAGGAGAAGGTGCCCGGCCCCCAGTGATGCTGAGGCTGCTCAGGGGAGTGTTTCCTGCCGGGAGTGGAACAGAGTCCCTCCTTTCCCCGCCTCCTTTCCCTCCCAGGAGGAAATCCTGCCTTCCACTCTCCTCCAGTCCCAGCTGGGAGCAGGCAGCGCCGCTGGTTTTCCTGGGGAAGGGCTACTGAGCTTGCAGGAGGAAAAAAGAGTGAAAATTTGGGATGGGGGGGTTGGGAGAGACCTTACAGAGCCCCCCAGTTCCAAGCCTTGCTGCCAGGGGCTCAAAGCACTGCTCTGCTCTGTGTGCTTAGGGTGATTTCCCAAAAAACCCACTGCACTGTGCTCCAGGAGCTGGCTGAAGCCCCTGCCTGCCCTCACCCTGATCTCAGAGGGCTGGAAAGGCCCCAAAATACTTTGGCAGGCGTGGTGGAGCAGGAACAGCCCCTCAGGTCGGGTCCTGTACCTGGTGCAGGAAGCAGAGGGGGCACCCCAGGGGTGGGGAGTGCCCGTGGGGTCATGTGGGGGTCAAAGTCAAAGTCCATGAGTGGAAATAATGCCAAATAAAATCAGAAATGATTTGCCAGCTGGGTTGGGCTCTGCTTATCGGGGCAGGATTGAGACATTCTGATAGAGGCAGTTCAGCAGAGAGGCCCTGAGGGTGGAGGAGCTCTCATGCATGAGAAACTGGGTGAAACTGGGTGAAAGTGGGCACAGGGCTGTGCCCTTCAACCCTCTTTGAGTGCAACTCTTCCCCAGCTGGGGGTTGGGCTCTGCTGACAGGAGACAGGATGAGAGGAAACAGCCTCAGGCTGTGCCAGGACAGGCTCAGGCTGGATTTTGGGAAGATTCCTCTATGGAAACAGCAGTCCAGGTCCTGAGCAGGGGTGGAGACCCCATCCCTGGGTGGGGTTTAGCAGCTGTTGTGGCACCTGGGGACATGGGTCAGTGGTGGCCTTGGCAGCTGGACTTGGTGGTTTTGGGGCTTTTCCAGCCCAGATGATTCCAGGGATCTGTGAAATGCTGCTGCATGCACTCCCAGTGAGCCCAGCTTGCAAACCCCAGTAACCACCCCGGGTTTGTTTTATCTCATCTTCTCCTGAAGGCTCTGAGTCCTGCACGGCCTCCTGAGCAAACAGGTGAGCCCGAGCTGATCTCACAGCAGGTATTTTCCTTACGGGCAGGGCACCAGCCAAGCAAACACATCAGCTTTGCCTCTGCATGACAAATTCCATGGCCTGGGACCATTGGTTTGGATTAAAAAAACCCCACCAAAATGGTTGAGATGGCATTTGCAAGGTTGGAGCTGTTTGGGGTGAGGAAAGCAGGAGGAGAGGCAGGTTTGGGTCTCCTCGGAGCTGCTGGGGGAAGGCTGGGTGTCACTGGGCCTAAATCAGAGTTCCTGCTCTGCAGAGGGTCCCTGGGAAGAGGACCTGGCTTGTTAAACCCTCCCCCCAACAGGCTGAGCCCCTCACCTTCCCAGAGGAATTTTTGGGTTGGTTTTCCTGTAGCTTGTCCCTTTCTCTCCATGTGTGGCAGGGCGCAAGGTGCTGCTGGTCACTCAGGTGTTGCCCCTGTCTGCAGCAGGCTGGGAGTGAGGCAGGAGCCTGCAGGAACGTGGATCTGCAGGGCTGAGGAAGGATGCACAGCCTGCAGGGTGAGAGGAAGGACAGGAACATTGTCTCCTGTTTGGGAGAGACCTTACAGACCACCCAGTGCCACCCTGCCATGGCAGGGACACTGCCACTGTCCCAGGTGCTCCCAGCCCTGTCCAGCCTGGCCTTGGGCACTGACAGGATCCAGGGGCAGCCCCAGCTGCTCTGGGCACCCTGTGCCAGGGCCTCACACCCTGCCAGGGAACAATTCCTCATTCCCAATATCCCATCCATCCCTGCCCTCTGGCAGTGGGAGCCATTCCCTGCGTCCTGTCCCTCCATCCCTTGTCCCCAGTCCCTCCCCAGCTCTCCTGGAGCCCCTTCAGGCCCTGCAAGGGGCTCTGAGCTCTCCCTGCATCTTCTCCTCTCCAGGTGAGCACTCCCAGCTCTCCCAGCCTGGCTCCAGAGGGGTTCCAGCCCTGGAGCAGCTCCATGGCCTCCTCTGGACCTGCTCCAGGAGCTCCACATCCCTCTGGTGTTGGACCAGAGCTGGGGGGAGCTCTGCAGGAGGGGTCTCACCTGGGCTGGAGGTGCCAGAGCAGCCTCCCCAGTTCCCTGCTGTGCCCGTGGGCTCCCCAAGGGGCTGGCTCTGGGTGATCTCTCCTGGCAGAGCTCACTTTCTCTGCAAATTCCATCCCATCACTGAATTATCTCTCTGCTGAGTGATCCAGCTCTCTTTGCCAGATCAGCCTTCAAGCCTCTTTCCAGGGCTCCATTCCAGCACAGTCACACTATTCCCTGCTCGCTCACACTGCTCAGCAGCTGGGCTTTGTTTTCCTCCTGTTCCATCAGCAGGATGATGATGATGGTGAAAGGAACCCTTTATTTATTCCTAAATTATTTTTTAAGAATACTATTTTTAATTATTAATTGTATTGAAACGAAGTTTCAAAGCTGTGATGTTTAGCACAGTTTAGTGGTTTTGGTGGTCTAATTCAAGTAGTGGAGGTGGCTCTGCTCCCCCTCCCAGGCTGTCCTGGACCTGGTGGAGAGAGCAGCTGCAGAGGCTGATGCTGCCTCAGGGGAGCTGAGGGTCTGCCAAGGGGCTCAGTCCCAGCCCTGCCCTGGGGGGTTTCTGTCCCCAAATGTCACATTGGGGGGGATTTCAGGCCAATTTCTATCAGCTCATCGACATCCAGTTGGTGTCTGGGAGGAATATTTGCTGCCAGTGATGTCCACAGGGTGGTTTCAGCCCCAGTACTCCCAGTAAAGGGCACAAACCCCCAGGGGAGATGGGGACACTGGGGATGACCGAGGCTGTACCCTGAAGGAGAGACACCTGTAGGGAAAGCACCAAAAAAGAGGCATGGAGCATAAAAGAATTGGGATGGAGGGCTGTGGTGGGAAGCTGGGGAGTGAGGAAATGATCAAGGAGGGACCAAAACCCACAATTAAACCAGATTCAACTGGCAGCTGTTGAAAACCTCGTGCTGTGCCAGTCCAATTCTGCCCAAACCTAGGAAAAAGTGGGAAGTTCTCATCTTCATCTGCTTTACCTGGACAAAGACATTTCAAGGGATTTTGGTGAGCACTGGGCACTTCTCCTGTGACCAAATCTGGAATATCTGTGAGAGTTTCATGGGCTTTGAGCCACAGCTCCCTTCCCCTTCCATTCTGTTCCATGTTCCATTCTGCTTCCCCTTCTCCCTCACAACCCCCGGCCCCACTGACCCATCATGAGGCACAAATCCCAGGATCATGATCACTGTTTTATTAATTCCAGTCTCACATGCTTCCCTTCCCATCTGGAGAGGACTTTCATCCTGTTCCCAAGTTTTACCAGCAGACAGAAGGACTTTGTTGTGGCTAAAGGAGCGTGAGCTTGTGCCACGGATGCCTTGGAGCAGTGGGGGAGAGCAGCACCCAAACACTGGGAATACTGGGGGGCTGGGGTCCTGCTGCTCCCAGGAATGGCTCTGGAAGCCACTGGGCACTCTGCAAGCTCTCAGACAGCTCTGGGGCTGCAGGTGGAGGTGGGCTTTGGTTGGGGGCTGCAGCTGGAGGTGGGCTTTGGCTGGGGGCTGCAGCTGGAAGTGGGCTTTGGCTGGGGGCTGCAGCTGGGGGTGGGCTTTGGCTGGGGTCAGCGATCCTGATGGGATCAAGCAGCCATGGCAGCTGCTGGTGCCACCCGATTTGGGGTTATCTTGACTTCCCTCCTGGCCACAACAGCTCTTGGGGACTCCCTCCATGGCCAGGGACCAACACTGGGCATGATGGAGGAAGGGGATGCATTTTTTTGGTGGGGGTGAGGTCCAACACAATCTGTCTGGAAATGGGAATCATCCTGGATGAAATCCCTCAGCTTGGCACAGAGACAGGTCTGCTTCAGGTGCGTGGCAGCTGAGAGTGAGGTGGGGTGGTGTGCTGGGGGGCAGGGGTCCCTGCTGGGGGGATGGCAGGCTTTAGTCTCCCTTCTTGGAGCTGGTGGCTTGCAAGCGCAGCTTCAGCCACGCCACGTCCGCGTAGAGGTTGCGCTTGAGGATGGTGCTGGCGCAGATGATGGCTCCTTGCAGGGCTCCCATGAACCCCCCCAGGCACAAATCCTGCCCTGAAAGGAGGGAGCAGCAGAGGAGGTCCCCCTGTGAGCAGTTCTCGCTCCCCACTCCATCCCAGCCATGCAGGGTGGTGTGGGCATCACCTTCCAGCTGCCCCACACCATCCCTGGGGTCTGAACCCACAACCCCCTCCCTGTCTGACCTTCCCTTGTCTCCAGCAGGAAATCCCCACCGTGCCCTGGGCAGGGGGACAACCTCCCAAAGCCGGGGGAGCACAGCCCTTCCCTCCTCCCCTGGGACACGGAATTCTGCTTTTCCAGGCGTTATCCCATTGCCCCACAGCGGCTCTTCCCTTTGTTCCATTTCAGGAAGGTTTTCCCTGCCCACACCCCTCTCCCCCGGAGCTCTCCTCCTCTGGGGACGCTGGTG